ATCCAAAAGATATTAGCAAAAAGCCTTTTCGGCCTTCTGGCTCCCCAACGCCCCAGCCACCTTCCAAAGAGTGATGGACAACATCTTAGCAGACCTTAACGGCAATTGTTGTCTAATCTATCTTGACAATATTATAGTCTTTTCATCATCACTCCAAGAACATGTCAACGACCTAAAGTTAGTATTCCAACATAAAAAATCTGAATTTTTCAGAAAGGAATTCGATTACCTAGGTCACGTAGCTAATTGGCATTAAAGCATTCCCTATGCCAAAAACCAGAAGACAAATCAAATCCTTCCTAGGATTGATCGGTTATTATAGGAAGTTCCTAAAAGATTTCGCAGCAATCACTAAACCCTTTATACAACAATTGAAAGCAAAGCCACAGTCAAAATAGATGAGGAATATAATAAGGAATTTGAAACTTGCAAAACTCTGCTATGAGCCGACCCGATCCTTCAATATCCTGATTGCAACAAGCCCATTATACTTACTACGGACCATTGAACTTCAAGGAGCCAAATTCAAAATTGGGTCGGTGGAAACTACAGTTAGTCAAGTATGAGTACGAGATAGTCTACCAGAAAGGGGTTAAACAGAACTAAATGACTTAAGACAAGTACAATTTTCAGGAGAAATTATAAGCAGTCTGAAAGTTAAAGTAGACCAACTAACAATCACAATAAGTGCATTATTATCCAAAAAAGGTTAAAAAGAGGTTTAATAAACTGTCTTGGTAGTATAATAAAAGTAGAAACAGGAAGTATGGACGCAAAAGACCCCCAATATATTACTGATAAATTTAATGTTAAAGAAAACGAAAACCAAATATCAGAAAATGTTAACAGACAATTAATATTTAACAAAGAAACTATCCTAAGATTTGAAAATATTACTCAACACATCATTTTATTATTAGCAAGTAAGAGGTTCTACTCGGGATCTCCCGACTAGGGGATACACTGAACCCTCTTATTCCAACATCAAAGATTTGAAAATATTACTCAACACATCATTTTATTATTAGGAAGTAAGAGGTTCTACTCGGGATCCCCCGACTAGGGGATACACTGAACCCTCTTATTCCAACACCAAATGCTTTAGTAGTAAGGCTAAATTGAAAACAAAAAGTTTCAACTAACCGCACTACTTGTCGCCGATTCTACTTAACAAAATAGCAGCACAGAAATCAATACGATCGCAATGGAATTGCTGTTGATAGAATTCAAAGAAGACGTGCATGAATGTGTGTGTGTGTAGATGCATACAGAAATTCTTGCAATTGGCGCTTGCTGCGTGTTTTGTAACCGATATTGATGAAATTTTCAGCAGCAGATCGAATTGTACTAAAAAATATTCGCGTATTCTTAAAATGACAATTGTTTTTAAATTGTCTTATATTGGGGGCCAGCATAAATTGGTTTATTAACTTGATTTAAAGCTATGAGGTAGTAGCGGGGAGGTGGTGATAGCTTTAAAATGAAAGATACTTGATATATATATATATACTATTCTAGAAGCTACATGTCAAGTTTGTGACTCTAGCTCTTATTATTTACCGAAATTGCTCAAAAAATATAGGATTTCGATGTCGATTTTTATCGATTACGTGAAAAAGGGGAATGTTATCGATTGTCGGATACAAACTCGATCTGCGCGTCTCTAGAAGGACCTACTGCTAAAATTTCTCTAGCTCTTATAGGTTCTAAGATCCTTGCGTTCATACATACGGACAGACGGATAGACAGAGGGACATGGTTAGATCGACTCGGCTATGATGCTGATCAAGAATATATATACTTTATGGGGTCGGAGGTGCTTCCTTCTGCCTTTTACATACATTTGCACGAATACATTATACCCTTTCTCCCCAATTTTAATGGGTTCAGGGTATAAAAACTATATAAACAATATGTATATACAAAACACTAAATGTAGAACACAACGAAATACATCTACTCGAGTACATTACTAGAATAAATTGCTATATAGATGTACTGTACAATCATATAGTAGAGAGTATTCTGTTAACTAAACTAAATATAATTCCTGAATTTATAGTATCTGAAAAAGAAATTAGATTTATAAATGAATTCATATCCAACCAAAATGTAATATTAGAATCCGACATCACACATCAACGATTATAACATAACATTCCATGTAAAAATTCCCATATTCAACACACAAATGTATAACATTGTTCCTCTGCCGCTACATCAAACCAAATTCCTAATAAAAATAACCCTACTATATTATGTACGACCAATATGGTCAAAATTTGTACTTTGAGAATTAATGTCCCAAAATCGAAAACACACTTGCACAAACCAACTTAGTCAACAACCACTGTCTCAAAGGCATACTCTACGACCAAACAGCAACATGCAACATCAAGAATATCGGACATCAAGAAGTCATCAATGAAGTGGAACAACGACACATCTTTATTTTTAACACCATGAATACCAACGTCACATCTTCATGCCAGAGACCCTTCACAATCAATAGGTCAGCCATATTAACATTCGACAACTGCACGGTCAAAATCAACGGCTTATCATACGACGACACAGTAAGGGAATTCAAACAAAGAGCGCAACTGTTCATAAAATCGTTTAAACAAATGAACATAAACAACACGTTCGAAGACATAAATCTACACAAAGTGCACATACAGTCCTTATCAAGCCGAATAGACCTTATTGTCATGAAGACGACAGCGAAAAGCTCCCGACTAGGGTATACCCTGAACCCTCTTCTACCAACACCGAATTCAGATGGCGCTACAAATTCGTTTGCTTTAGAAGTAATACAAATAAATTTTAAAACTAAAAAAAAATAGTTCCCTTAATAGGTCTCGAACTCGTAACAGGCCACACTAATTGCAAACGCCTCTACTGAACAGCCACGTCAGGAATAGGGTCTTAACGAGAAAAAAACGGACTAAAATAGCAGCACAGAAAACCAGACAATCGCAGTTGCCATGCTGTTGATAGAATAAAATAAAATCATATAATTTTTTCATTGCTCCTCCGCACAATTTTAAAAGACAATTTGTGATAAATTAACAAAGGGCACACTGTTGCCAGATGAAAGGCCAACAAGTGCAGAGTATGCAGTGATTCTCATAACACTCTGTTGCATAGATACTCTGCCGTTTCTAACACTCGAGCGTTAGAGTGCGCACAGGATCAATCATCGACTTCACATGCTATGCATAAGAATGTTTCTGATAGTGTAATCCTAGCAACCGTTGTCGTTAGCGTCAAAGCGAGAAGTGTCGAGTTCTTTTCGGCTAGCTTTACTCGATTCTGGTTCACAAATTAATTTTGTAACAGAGGAGCTAGCACAACGATTGCAGCTGCGTAGAGAAGAGGCTAGCATCAGCTTACTTGGGATTGCTTAACTCCTTCGAGGTTGCTAAGCGTCATTTTTTGTCGCTTGAAAGACGCTTGTCTCGAGATCCCGAGCTTAAGCGTATGTACCTGGAATTCATGGAAGAATACTTCATTCCGCATCAGTGTGCTTTAAGACCACAAAAAACATCGACAAAGTTACGCGTTGTTTTCGGCGTGTCGATGATTTACTGACTAGTCCTGCATGCGTAGAGAACCGTCAGACAATTAAGTCTGAAGTGTCGCAAAAACTTCAAAGCGCTGGTTTCGAAATAACCAAATGGTTTTCAAATTCTCCTGAGTTCTCCGCAACGAGCGCAGCCAAGCCGATAATGATCTCAGAGTCTAATACAATGAAAAACCCTTGGCGTGATGTACTGGCCGAATGAAGATGCTTTTCAATTCAAGCTAAACGATTCATTCATGGGTCTTAGAGCGACAAAGCGGAACATTCTCTCGGTGACATCGCGGCTATATGACCCGCTTGGCCTGTTAAGCCCTCTGATAATCAAGGAGAAAATCCTACTCCAAGAGCTCTGGCTTCAGAAGTTAGACTGGGATGAATCTATCCCTCCGAGTTTGGATAACTCGTGGCAGCATCTGAAATCTACTTTGATCCAGTTGCAAAGAATAAAGATTCCACGATATGTGTTTACAGAGCCAACTTCACCGATCGAGATACATGGTTTCACCGTCGCCTCAATATGAGTGTTTGGCACATGTGTCGTGTTTCTTTGTTGACATCCAAATCTAAAGTAGCCCTCAAAATGAATACCCGACTTGAGTTGAGCGCGGATCACCTTCTCGCAGATCATCGAATAAAAAATCTCATAAAATTACCGATTGAATGAACGGTTCTTTGTTCTGATTCTGAAATCACGCTTCATTGGATTCAGTCAACATTTGTGTCGAATCAACTGGCTGAAACCCGAGAATGGACAGGGAAATGTACAATTTGAGAGTATCCGAGAAAATAGTTGAATTCATCCAACGAGTTTAATTTAAAGATGACACAGGTAGGGTTCGAAAACGCACGCGCGTGGGTCATAGCCTGCAGCGTGTCAATCCATTCATACATCAGTATAATGGGTCTTGGTGTTCCTATTCGTTGTTGCGAGTTTTTATAATAAATAATTTATCTATAGTAGAATAGAATGGATTGCATTCACATATTTTTACATTGTCTATCTGGCAGCAGATCACATTAATGTTAAACATCATGTTAAGCTAATGCTTGTCATCAGTATTCGAAGAAAAAGTCAGTCTGTTACAAGCATGAGACGTATAGAGAAAAGTTATAGAATAAAAGCGGAACGATACTATCAGACATATATTGAACTTATGTTTTTTTGCTTCAAATCTTATGTATCACAATTTCACGCCCGGGAAAAATCTACTTATCCCTTGTGCCTCATATTAAATTTAATTATGTAAGAATTGGAATAATTAGAATTTAAATTCGAACAAATCCGCTGTTAATCTAAGTTATCGATAAGTATGCATATGTAACTCTCTTAAATGTAATTGATATATCGATACAAATTAAAGGATTGTATCGATATTTCAATAAGCATGCAATCTCTTTTTGAAAGATTGTCGAACCTTTCGGCTGCGTCCAATAATAATAAACCTACTTTCGCGTTTTATAAATCGGGTATGGGGTCTGCCCGACCAAAGTTTTATGAAATGCGTAGACATACTTCGCAAATGAAAAAGTGAATTAATTGCTTTATTTGGCAGCCAGAACGAGCAGTTTAATCAATATGCTAACATATGACAACTTAGTGCAGCTCTAAAAGCGATTGTGGAAAGTGACTCCAATGTGAACAGCTCAAAATAAGTACACACTAGAACTGTCGAAAACGCACCAACTTCAGGAATGGTGCGCCAAGGGTATATGATGCTAGTGAAGCAGCGCTAGTGATTTTTTTTGACCCGCATGGTAAGCAACGCCATACATTACTCATGTGGCACCGTTAACTTATTACGAGCAAAACTGCTTAAAGTTTTTAAGCACAAGTTGACGGCGTGGGATGTTGGAAAGCGGTTGGAGGCTCGCAAAATCGCTAAGAACGAAAGTGCTGTACTCATCGCTAAGAACGAAAGTAGCTGTACTCCGCCGAAGAGACCAGATGGGGCATGCTTCAATTGCTAGAGTCTGAGTCATCAATTTGATCAACCTTATAAAGTCTGTTTGGTGAGCGAAGATGCATTAGTGTTTTCAGTTTATTTAATACAAGAAGTCCTGTAAGTTTCATTCATAAATCTTTAATACCAAAATCTGTTATGATAAGAAAAAAAGTAAGAAATTACCATGGATTAGAAAGACGACCAATCCCAGTACCCTATATCCCAGTTTTGTTACATATCGTAGTCGATAATTTACTACCTTTACCAGTTCTTTTGCGACGATATGCCCTCAAAATCATCGAAATGCAATTAGAACAATAGAAAAACATTAATGCAAACTATCATACAACACTAAGTTCAAATAAGGAAACTCACCAATATCTCTACTACTAGTAAAGTAAGTCCATCCAATAATTAAAATAAGTATATCACAAATCAGCGAGTTAAGCAAAAGTATTCTTCCTAAACAATTAACTAGTCATGGCTGATCAAATTAGTAAATAATATTGGAATCAAGGAGATGTGTTTAGTCAGTTTTGGGCAAGTATTGAAGTCGAAGAATATGATCTCATTAATGTGGGATTAAAATTTGGCAGGTCGGGTGCAGAAAATGGCAAAGAGGAATCTTTAGAAAATAAGTGTTATTTCTGAGTTATAGTCCTCAAAATCGGGTATTATCAGATTGGTGTAGAAAAGAATTCTATCCCATACACTTCTTTTGTGGCACCTCAAAGCCAGTATGAGTATTAAGGAATGCCTTTTGGATTGAAAAATGGTTCAGCCATATTTCAAAGTTTTATTTCCAACTTACTTAGAGATAAAAGTATTGTAGTTTATATGGCCGACACATTATGAAGAAGTTTCTGTTTTTAAAACAAGATATTGACTTTTTAAGGTACAAGGTCAATCGCCGCGGAATAGTGCCAAGTGATTATTACATTAAATCTATAAAAATTACCCAGTTCCCCAAAATGTAAGTGCGTTGCATTCATGCCTTGGATTCTTTTCATATTTTAGACATTTCATGTTTAAATTTGCCAAAATAGCAAAACCATTGGTAAAACTTTTAAAAGAAGGTGGTCCGTTTCCCCTCAATAAAAAGCAGCTAGAGACATTTAAAGCTCTAAAGAAAGCTCAAGCGAATCCTCCCGTGTTAGCTATTTTCAGCCCAAATAGAGAAACAGAACTACATACAGATGCAAGTTAGTACGGGTATGGAGCAGTGGTAATGCAAAGACAAGACGATGGAAAGATGCACCCTTTATTCAGGTAAAACAACGGAGAGAAAATCTGGCTATCATAGTTTTGAATTGGAGACGTCAGCCATAATCTACGCATTGCGGCATTTTAGAGCATATTTAAAGCATAGTGCACTAGTACAAACCCTAACCAGAAAAACCAGTAGCTGGAAAATAGCACTTCGGTCCCTAGAATTAGAAAATTACGACTTCTCTATTATGCACAGACCTGGGTCTAGTATGGCGCATGTGGCCGCACTAAGTAGACAAACCCAAATGATGGACAACCAAGGAGCATGTAACATTAAGGTTAGAGACAATCGTTGTACTAGACTTAGAGAAATAATAGAGATATAAGTAGTGCAATCCGTATAGATAGTTTAGAGACCAAAAGTAGTGATTTGAGTCAAAATCATAGACGAAATATTAAAAAGGTGGTGGGGGAGTACTATATGCTAACAACGGAAACCCTGAAGAGAAGGATGAACCGGTAGAGGATGATGCATCTGAAACATTGGAAGCGTTTACATTTAAAGAGGAACATTAATTGAAATCACTGACTGTGGTCGGGGTAGTGGATGCATCTCCGGATGACATTGATTTAATTTTACAAACTGAGCAAATGATCAGGAAACAATAAGGATTCGGAGACTGCTAGAAGAAGGAATTAAAACAGACTTTTAATTGCAAGATGGAATCGTGTACAAAAGAAATAATGAGAATGACTATACGCTCCAACGGGTATGGAGGAGCACCTGATAAGGGGGTCTCATGAAAAAGTAGGACACTTCAAAAAATGAATTTAACCCACTCGAGGTGATATCGTCGGGGCAGCTGAATCGAGATTGGCGATAGCTTTTATAGAAACTTTTATGCTTTCTACTTGCACATGTTCCTGAATACCTCCTGTGTTTCCTAGCCGAAATTGATAAAACTTGAAGAAGTTGTACTATAGAATGGTCAAATATTCGCATAAAGTCAATCTCATTACAATATTTGCGTGATGGGGAAGGTGGTGGTGCCCTTAAAATGAAACATACTTGATTTGTTTATACAATTCTTGGAACTACTTGTGAAATTTGGTGACTGTGGCTCCAAATACCTATTTTGATATCGACTTTTATCGATTGCTTACTCTTACTGCGCAGGCATAGGATGATTTACTTTCCAGATTGAATTGCTTAAGCTCTTATAGTTTCTGAGATCAACGGGTTCATACATACAAGCAGAAAGATGGACATGACTAAACAAATGTCATGTATTTTCTCCCTATTCAAGCGTAATCTTCATCGTCAGTTGAGAAAATAATTTTATTCTTGGTTTCTATAAAATTTTGGAGTATATCTCTTCTTGTTATATATCTCTATATATAAAACAGTTTGTCCTGACTGTAGTTACCTTATGTGGTAAGGTGCACATTAAGACGGGGTTTTAGGAAATTCCACCCACAAGTGTGTAAAAAAAAAAGTTTTGTGCATTTTTTTTGTTTACCGTCCGAAAGGTCTATAATTTAATTTCAAAGATATTTGTTCAAATGCATTTAAGGGGTGTCTCACACTTTTTAAAAAATTCATTCCTCATTGGTGCAAATTGGGGACAGATTTTGTGGGCTGTTTCGGGCTTAAACAAATTTCTTTATGAAAATTCATTTGAGACGTGTTTCATATTTTTAACAGAATCCAAGCTTCTTCGGTTGAAAATGAGGTTGAAAGACATTTGTACGATTTGCATCAAACTTAATTTCAAAGAAGTTAAGAATACGTTTTCAAGCGATTTTGTAAATTCCATTCGAGATTGTGGTAAATTGGCTGAAAATCGTTGCATGAAAGTTTTTTCGTTTATCTTCCGTTCGGCTTCAAAATTATTTTAAAGACATTTGTGAAAATCCATTTGAGAAGTCTTTAACACTTTTCGTAAAATCCCCCTCTTGCAGGTGATCGTCCGATCAGCGCAAACTTATTTGTTATTCTTTTTTGTGTACTTTACGCATATATTCATTGGAGTTAAAGATAAGTAGTACGAGCATAATTCAATTCTCCACGGGCGGAAACTAGGAGAAAAGTTATATCTAACATATTTAGCACAAAACTTGCCTCAGTCAATGCCGGGTAATATCCGCTAGTTATATTATGTGTTTTTAATTTTTTCTGCTGTAATCTTATATTGAGTTCCTTTATTCATAATTGTAAATACGATTTACTGGCCTTTTAGTTGTCTGGGAGTGTTTACTTGAATCTTCTGCTGCTAAAGTTGTATCAGCCTGACTATTGGTGTCCGACCGACCATACAAATGAGGACCACCGATAGCTAAAAGCTCATTTTCTATTAATAAAAAATTATTTTCATGTACATTGAGTGTTTGACAAAACATTAAGTTTGTTTTCTTGTCCATGTGCTGCGCCTAATACATTATTGCTAGTTTTTTTTATAAATTTTCTATAGTATCCCGCCAAACCCAAGAATGATTTTATTTCTTTTGGACTTTTCGGATTGGATAACATTGAATTACTCCTATCCTCTGTGGTTCAGGAAATCAAGTTTTTTACTGGTAATCATATTAGTCGATTATAACTTTTGTCGTATTGACTGTGTCACAAAGCAAACTTGGTTTTATTCAAATTACAAAAAAAAAAAAAAACAATAAGCATACAAAACTCAGACTGCGATTTTTAAAATTCATTCAAATTCAAATCGGAGTCACATATTAAATAGGAAATATTTATTTCTTGCGACTATTGTTGCCGCTAGCTTTGCCTTAATCTCTAAATTGTTCACATTTCATTCTTTTATCTCTTGTTAGCGTTGGTCCCAACGTGACTTTACCTCGATGGGTCCTTGCGCTGAGAAAATAAATATGCTTACTATACAATTAATTATTTTACCTTATATGCTGGGGAGCGGCTCTAGTAATAGCAATAAAAGCGGTGAAAATAGAGTGATTTTCGGTGAAAATAAAAGAGCTATATTGAGAGAGCTCGAATGCCGCAAAGATCAGAGCAGTAAGAAGAAAGGCAAATGTATGTAACAGGCAGAAGAAAACTTTTCCGACCCCATAAAGTATATATATTCTTGATCAGCATCACTAGCTGAGTCGATCTAGCCATGTCCGTCTGTCTGTCCGTCCGTCCGTATGTATGAACGCACGGATCTCGGAACCAATAAGAGCTAGAGACTGCTCCTAGGGCCCGGGCAGTACGAGTTTGTTTCCGATATTCGATAACTTGCCCCGTTTCCAAATAACCCATCAAACTCGATATCAAAATCCTGTTTTTTAAGCAAGTCTCGTAAGTTATAAGAGCTAGAGTCACCAAACTTGACATATATTATATTTTCTAGAATATTATATATATATATATCAAGTTGCTTTCATTTGAATAGCAATAAATTAAGTAAATATGTAATTTTTCTTTCCCACCAATTTAAGTCACAATTTTGAGAATATACAAATATTGTACATCGCAATAAGATCTACCGTTGAAAATGTTTTCAAGATCGTGTAAGCAACACAGTAGTAATTAGAGAAAACGTATTTTGGCTGGCTAGCATGCGCAAATTGTAAGAATATCTGTATACATGTACACACACACATTCATGTGATTGTTATATAATCTGTGCTGCTATTTTAAATATTCTTTTTTTATAAGTAATAAATTGTTGGTATGGCTGTTCAGAAGAGGCGGTTGCAGGTAGTGCAGTCGGTACGGGTTCGAGTCCGATTAGGACGAATTTTTTTTTTTTAATTTTATTACTGCTTAAGCAATCGTGCTCGTATCGCGAGCTGCATTTGGTGTTTGTAGAAGGGGGTTCAGGGTATCCCCTAGTCGGGCACTCCCGATAAGAGCCTTTTACTTGTTTTTTATGTCGAATTAAATACCCCACGAACAACAATAATGTTAAATTGACAGAATTTTGCTTGGGGCTTGCTACCAACGAAATTTAATATAATTAGAATTAAATTGGTTTAATAATATTCTTTTAATACATTTGCATTTATTTTTTATTTTTGACACAGCCTCTTACTAGTAAAAACTATAATTTTACAGAGTTTACTCAGATTTTAAAGAAATTACACATTAAATTTTTCCACTATGCTTAACGTTTCTGACATAAACTTAGCTTACATTCTGATGCTAAATGCAAATTACCACCTCCTTAAATAAATTGTCTGAACGGTTTAATCTGATTAACAAAAGCGTCAGAAAAATATACATATGTACATATGGCCTGCATCAGCCCGTGTCGGCTGTTATGCACCCTCTGTTGAGACTTATCATCAATTGAGACTTAGCCGGACATTTCTCTCTTAAGTAGGTGCGTATACTTGGTTGCATTCCTTATAATTATTAACAATTAATGTTTCTTGTTTCTTTCTATTTTACAAGGTATCTCCATTCAGTTATTTATTCTATGCAAGCTGATATTGTCTTCAATTCGTCAACAGGTGCGTATTATTGTTTTGCTTTGCCTTATTATATTCACAATTGTGTATTAATTTTTAAAATTTCATTTATCTTACAGAATGCATTTTCATTTAACAACATTAAATGGAACAGGCGACGAAACACTGCAAAGTTATTGACAGTCGCCGCAAAAAATAAAAACAAGAAAGCAATTATGAGGCAATCGTTGCACAGATTTAGGAAAAGTGTACCCACGAAAATACTTATAACCGGGTATGTTACGATAGACAGTCGTGCAACAGGTAGCTGATATATATATTAATCGCTTAATTCTACCTTTCCCTACCTAAAGAGCTCTCTGGGGGTGGTAAGGGGCGATAGAAAGGGGTATTTCAAGTTAGGTATGTATGTGAGTATTGTTCGCGCAAGTGTTGAATTTTAAACTTTTATATTTTATAGGCGCATACGCATCACCTTTGGAGTTTTCCCTCATTGTTCGCACTCTAAAGTTAAGCTATAATTTACAAGCAAAAAAAACTAAATTTAACAACTACAAAAAAATCTGCTCTTTTTCAGGTACACAATCAGGAGTCTACGTGTGACTCTGCTAATGCTCGGGGCGACGGATAACACAGAACGGTCTCGCCTGTGGCCGATTCTTCACTACTGGAGCGTGGTAGTTGGTGGCTCGTCTCGCCGTCTTTATGGTTACGCCAAGGCTTGGCTGACGTGCGCCGCTGCTAATGCTGACATGCACCGCTGATATGGCTGACGTGCGCCGCTGAGCCAAATCCTGGCCTTTGGGGTGACTGGCCACTCTGGTCCGAGAACTGGTCCTTCGTTGTCGGAACCGTTTATTTTGTCAATAGCCTTATGATTTTTTATTTGTTCGTCTCGTGTCGCACGTAAGTTTTAACTTTTCTCTAATTTTGCATATTTTGACACAATGTTTAAATTTTGATTTTTTTAATAAACGGCAAAAAAAATAATTTATTGTTTAATTTTAAAGTGTGGAAAAGTTTTCCAGAAAATTTTATTTTTAGGGGGCCGACATGTACAAATATAACTTTAAAAGCTCGCTTCGAGTTGGCACGCCCGTCGTTGACCGCTGATCAGCAGGGTGTTCGACCTGCTGTACATTTGGGCAGCAACATCGGTGCCGAATTTCGGCTCACGCATACATTTACGCGGCGGGCACTTTTCCACACTTTAAAATTAAACAAAGAGCGAATCGGGCGGCCAGTGCCCGGCTTCACCTCCGATTCTCTGACCCTATGACAAAAAGATATCGGCGTGGCCGATAATATCGCACGCAACCAACTAAGCAAACAATCGATGCTGCCGATAACGTCAAATGCAACAAAATTTAATTAAATATATTGACAATCTACATCTTACATACATTACATAACACGTGTAATACTAATGCGCAAACTTATTGCGATCCTCTAAGCTAATTTATAAAAATTTTCGAATTTAACTAGAAAGTGAAATTTGTAACTAATAGCATCTTAAGATCAAATTCATCACAAATGCACTAATATTAACTTACCGCAATCGCATTTGGTAAGATTAGTGCTTTCATTATTTTCCGCATCATCCTCTGTGTCAAACCCGAAGGCACTTGAAACTCCGGAGCTTATTCGAAAAATTGTATCAAAAAGAAATTTGCTAGTTCTTTGAGAATGAACACTGTGAAATGAGAAATTTCTTGAAGACAAATTAGGTTTCATTAACTGTTCGAAACAGGTGACACTTTTATTGATAGTCACCATTAGAATTACTATGCAACATAATATATTCATTTTTATAATTAAGTAAACATATTCAAATTATATATTTTATTTATTACATAAATATTTAATTTATATGATATTTTCAAAAGTAAATATTGCCACTCGTAACCTCTTCGTCATAACGTAGAGTACAAACCGACTAAAATAATAATTAGGACCAGGGATTTAGTTTAGCTTTTTAAATTGGCTGCTCAATTTAATGCATTAAGGAAGCAGAAGTTTTTTGTTTAGTTATCTTCTGTTATTAAGGCACAAGGTAAGTGTGGGATATTCATGGAAATCGAAATTATGAAATTTTTTCGTTAGTTATCCGATCGGCATCTAACTCAAATATATACATATATGTATGTATGTCAGTGTCCGTCCGTATATCTGTATGAACGATAGCATCGATCTCCCTTAGAAGCCTAATTCTACTATCAACATTTATTACATTTTTTGTGAACGTGAAGTATGTTGCCTGTAAATGTTCCCATAAGAAACCACTTTTTCCACATTTGCAAAATATGTTGGTATTCGCCCCGTGTGAGTCGTGCTTTTTGCGATGATTTATCGATGTTATTGGAAATATGGAATTATCATTCCCACCAACAGCTGATATAATAAAAAAAGAAAGCTGTAACTTTAAATTAAAATTTTTAATTTATTTTTTAATTCCACAGTTTTTAACATTTTAAGACGGCCAAATCTCCAAGAGTCCATTCAATGGAGCCTCTACTTCGAGGCCGTATTTTTTGACGGTTGGGAGGAACATTTTTCGGCGCTTAGATAAATAAAATCAAACAGATCAGCTGTTTATTTAAAGAAGCCGTAATATTGCCATTCATATATTACCGACAACTGACAGTTGCTAATGGAATTGCAGAATTTGAATTTTGTGAATGTAACAAATGTTAAGCGTAGTGGAATCAGAGCTAGACACTACAAATTTCATCGTGGGTCCCCCTTAAGCCCTTATTTCAAATCATTGATGACTTCCCCGTTTCTACGATATCGAGAAATCATATGAAAATTTGTTTGTTTCTAGCATATCTTAGAGCTTTCTGGAGATATAGGCAGCACACTTTGTATGTGGGCTCTTGTACTATATACGCGAGTACGAAATAATTCACTTTTTGGATACCTGAGCTGAGCAGCAAGCGGAGCGGTACATGAGTGTGTGTGTTTTAAAAATCGTTGCTCAAAATCATTTTAGCAGTGCATCACACTGTTTGAAAACACACCCCTTCTTTGTATATAGGGGGTCTATGATTTGGTGTGACAAGTTTTGGGCTCAAAATTATTTCCAAGATTATGAAAATTCCTCTTAAGTGAAGTGGTCAAAGAAAAAATGAGTAAAGTTTAGGAATAAAAAGCTTACGAGGAACGATTTTTAAGAATATTCATTTATGGCTTATATCATACTTTTCGCGAATTCCCTCCTGGGTGAAAAATGCAGGTTAAAGTTTGTCCTCCGAAGTTTCTTAGTTTTGTACGATTCGTATGAAAATGTATTTTAGCCTTACATGAAAACTTAATGAACACGCTCTTTAATGATCTCGGAAATTTTATCGGCAACTTATTTGCTTACCGCTCGATTAGTGTCAAACTTATTTTCAAAGATTTTTGCGAATATAATTTCTGTTTCACAATTTTTGAAACGAAATAACAGAAGTACTTATATAACAGATATATTCACTTTGAATTCCAAAATTAGACTCAAATAGTATAATGTGGCTATCGCTTTGCAAACCTCGGTTACCTCGAGTAATAAATATACAGAGGAGGCTTTTGGATCAAAAAATATGAAGCAAGATTGCGAGAATACAAACAAAAATTGCAAGCACAACACCCGGCTGTCTGCAGCTACTTCTGCCGGTGCGCAAAATTCAATGACAACTTCAGAACATTTTCCATAAGAACCAACAACAAAATGAATCAAAACAAACGACTGGACAATGAAAATAGCACACCACAAATTGTGTCCTTGCTATCCATTTTTGGTTTGAGGCTACAGTCTATGATCTTAGCGTCTTTTCTAACTCATTGTTATGGTTTCTAAGCACGGATATGGCTATAATTCGCAAGTCACATAGTCATGTCTTCTTCTTCTTCACTCGCTTTCAACTTCCAAGCGGCCAGGCAGATATGAATTTAAGAAGAATGCAATATTCTGCTGCGCATCAGTTGACGTCACAGCCCAAGGCTTTTTGTGTGCGATCGTTGCACACAAGAATTTAAATTCCATCAAATGTGACGTCATAATATATGATGCTGGTGTGACGTGTGCGTAACCCTTTGCATTGAATGGCATGGCCTGCTGGCATTCGAATTTTCTACCTATTTGCGCCGAGACTCGGCTATGCGACAACAACATTAGAACCCAAAAGGTGTTGTTGTTGTTTCTACGCGCTGCCTTGTAGGAACGACAGAGAAACCAGCAACAAACACAGTTTTAAAGTTCATGAATGGTGGATCAAGTTCGTCTGCAAAGGCAAAGTCAAACACAAACAATAAAGCTCATTTAACATAGGAAGCAACATTTGCACCAAAATGTGTCAGTTGAGACATATATGCCAACAACAATAAGTCGCGGTTAAGCGTAGATACCCTTATTAATAGTAATAGTGTATAATGTTTAAATTCATCGTATAATGAAGGTTCGATATGTTTATGTTTCTTATTTATGAAATTCCTAAGTGGTATATAAACTAAGATGATATGTATATGTATGCAAAGGCGTAAGTGGTGTATAAAGAGAATTGATATAAGTTATTTCCTATGTGAAATAAAGAAATCTTCTTGGGAATGTCGCAGTTGGTTCCAATAATGTTGAATAAAGAAATCTTATTTGTGGGAGAGCGTGTCTGTTTTATTCAAGACTGATTTTAGAACTGAAACTCAAATCAAATCTATGTCTGTATGAAACCTAACAATGGCAACGGCGGCAATGTAACTTCAGCGGGTGACGTGATCGCTGAGTTCCAAAGAATTCTTAGCTTCAGCTGCGGAAACGTTGCAGACGCATGGTCAGCAATTTTGACCATGTTGCAACGAATCAACAACCTCTGAGATAAATCCTCCCCCTTTAGTTGACGCTTGTCCTCATGCGACCGTCAGAAGTATGGGACGTTTTTGAACTGTGGGACTCTTGATGTCATGACTTCAAATTACTGGGCCATATGTGTAGTCCTAGAAAAATTAATAGGACCTGGGAAAACATGATTACCAGTGTGCCTCTTTTGTATCTTCAAATGTTGTAGTTGTTCTGTATTGTTCATATGAAGAGCCTCAACAACTTCTAGTGGCATCACTTTTAGTCGCTTAGCTTCTAAAGGTATAAATTGCATGATGGGCGTCCCCGGCTTCATTATCACTGAGTCGGCGTTGCTAAATTCTTTATCTTCAATGGTCACGGTGTAGCTCTCGAAGTGGATCAGATATCTACATTCCAGATGGTTGTTGGTATTGTTCCACGTGACAGTGCTTTTAAATTACTTAAATACGATGATGCCGTTACCAATTTCTTTAATCTGTGGGACATGATCAGCATTGCTAAAACTGCAAAGTGATCTTTTTCCTCTTACTAGCTTGGGTATACAATTTGAATCTCTAAAACAATATTGTTCTTATAGTATATGGTTACATTTACAATGGTTTTACAATCCTTTTGTACCTGGTATGTTTCTTTGTTGAACAAGAATATTAGATTTTCCTCTAAATGGATTATTGAATTCTTCTTTATAATTGGTTTCAACAAAATATTTTGATAATTTGTTTTTTCAAAGTTGGGTATCAAAATAAAGGATTGTTGACTTGATATGTAAAACGGATACTTCAAAAAATTCTAGCATTTCTTCTATTCAGAGTGGTGGCATATTACTTTTTTCGAAAAGTTTAACAATTTCCTCTAGTTTGTTTTCATTTAAAAGTAGAGAGTTTATAATATTTAATCTTGCTCATTGGATGGCATATCTAAAATTGTTCAATTCCTCTTTAATTAATCTAACCTGATTCTGAAGGCGGACAGCTATCTCGTTGCTGAGGTAACTATCTTTCTTAACTGAATTTCTGAAGTCATTTGATATTTTAGTGAGCCTATTAAGTCTATCCTCGAGCTTGTTCGTTGTTACTCACAATAAGTTTGTGGAAATTATTTTCTATCTGCATATTTCCATGCCGATCCTAGCCAATGATGGCGTGAGATGTGGTGAATGTTTGGGTGATTTCGTGATGAAGGGTATGGTACAGACTGTTATCGTGCAAATCACTCTCTACGTGAAGTTTGATTGTATCTTCCGATTTGGTTGCACTTCCGATTTGGTCCAAGTTGATTAAATGAATGATCTTTGTCGTGGACTTTCGTATTTTCCCGACTCCCTTGTAGATCGATATGGTCAGCGCGTCTGTATAATTGGTTATTTCCACAAAGCCACATGATGGTCTTAGTATGGCTAGCAGTCTAAAAAAATTATGACCTTTTAATATTGCTTTTGTGAATTGTTTTGCATGATTCGGAAATTACGGTAGTACCTCTATCTTCTTTAACTATTTCTTTTTTAAATCTTGAAGTGAGTTTTGATCCTTACCTTGTATTCTGTTTGACTCATATCTCTTGTCCTAGTTCGTGTGCTTTTACTGGTTTTCTGGTTCGATTGTGGTTCTCTAAGTTTTTCAGTTGCTTTTGCTTGATTTTATCAATATTGTCTTGTCGGCTTTTAACGTATTGTTCGGGATTAGTTGAGGAAATTCTACCAAAGAAGACATCTAACGGTCATTTTTTTGTAACTGAGTATTGTGCAATTGTATTCATAGATAAGTAATTCTTCTAATGTTCGGTGTTCGTTCTTCGTTTTGAGACATCTCATGATTTCGGATAATGTGGGATGGAATCTTTCAACCTGTCCATTGACAGAACTTTTCTAGGGCGGTGCCATGTCCATCACGACGTACTGTGGTACACCGTAATAGAACAATAGTTCTTGCAATGGTTTCTTAATATCTTCTATGGACTTGGATTAAATAATTCTACCTTGTGCAAGTTTCGAACATTTATCTACTGCAGTCATGACCATTACCTTTTCTGTCGAGTAAATGTCTATGTGTAGGATTTGTCCGGGAAATTCTCGTATGGGTGTTTCTTCAATATAGTGATTCGGAGGATGTCTATCGTATTAAGCGCCTCCAGAAACTTGGCATTGTTTAACTAAGTTTTCAATTTTTTTTTTCATTCTAGGGAAGTAGTATTTCTCTGCCAATTGTAACTTATTTTCTTGTGCGTTGCGATGGGCTCTTTGTGAATTTGAAGAATTTTTTCGTCCTGCTCTACTTCCGATGTGAGGACTTTGACTATTAGTGAATTGCATCTGGCCTTAATATTTTTAAAATTGATGGGATATAAATTCTGAATTTGCCCCATTAAATCTTCGTCTTTTATCAATTCTTCTATTGTATAATCATATTGTGTTATTTCATGTCTATGGAACGTTGGGAATGGGATACTGGGATAGTCTATATATTTACCTTTGTTCAGAAATATCTGATTTTTGAAAGCGTTAATTGGGACATCAATGCTTGGGATTAAATGTTCTGCTGAACTGTTAGTACTGTGTTGTGTTGATGCCACTGAGTTCACTTGGCTAACCCTTGATAACCCATCTACCACGACATTGCCTTTACCTGGTCGGTATAGCAATTGATAGTTGTATTCCTCTAAATATGATTTCCATCTCTTAATTCTCGCATTGCCATTCCAACTACTAAGAGAATGTGTTAATGGTTGATGGTCGGTGAAAATTTTTACTTTAGCTTTACCGTAAAGGTAATTCTTGAGGGCTTTTAATTCCCAGATTTTTGCGAGCATTTCTCTTTCGTTAGAAGCGTAATTTTCTTCAGT